AAAAAAAAAATTCGAATTAAAAATTTCGAAATTTTTAGAAAAGTTTGTTCATTTTTTTTTGAAATGTTGCACAAAGATTGAAATATGGTTTTTGTTAGAGAATATACCATATTTTTATAAACAAATAATTAAAATTAAAAAAATATTAAGGGGTTCAGGAGCGTGTCTCAAAAATGCTTGTGTGCTTGTGTTTGGCCGAGTTGCTCCTTCGATTTATGCCGTGTATCTGAATGTTGCCTCACAAATTGAGGGACATTCAGTTCTCTGCTGCTCTGGAACGGCTTTTCATGCCAGGAGGCACTTAGAAAACGTTATTGGATGATGATACAGCTAGGGATCGAACCTGGGCCTACACACGTGTTTGCAAATGGCTCTAATCACTCGCCAATCCAGCTGTGAATAACCGAACGATATATCTATACTTATTGTAATTAAAGTTGCATTAAGGCAGACAAGAGTAGACTTAGACTTTCTTGGCTTAAGCTTACACGCTCACATACCCCCGCTCGCCAACAAACGCTGTTGCGGAGTTACCGCAATTTTGTTAGATTAAAGTTTGAAGACCTGCCTGATTGAAATACCAAAGGCCACTAAGTAGTTTAAGTAAAACACTTACAAATATGTAAATATGTAAGTACATAAGGCAATGATTACTTAAAAGCTCCTCTATATTACCTATCAGTAGCAGGAGCAAACGAGCATCCTACGAACGAGCTCTGAGCTTTTACGCATTTGTTTACACTTTTTGTCCACTTTCATTCATAAAAATGTTACGGCGCCAACCATTCGGATTGAATTAAAGTAAACTGCAGCCAACCGACGACATTCAGTCCTTTCGGTTGCTCGGCGCGATACAGACGTAAAAAGCGAAAGTCGGAAGTGTGCTATGGAGGAGATATAACTAATGGCGTGGCTCATGCGTGTTTTTTTATTTCACCGTTAAAACGCGAAAAGCACGCGAATGTGTTGTATAAAATTTTTTACAAGTGATGTATTGCACCGCTGCGACGACAAAGCCAATTTGTCACTGTGCAGTTTTATGAGGATGTTTTTGTTTTTTGATCTTTTTGAAACACTAAACCAAGAAGGCGCGTTGAAAGCAATTAAAGACAAAAAAAATTTTGTTTGTGGCACGCGCTGCAAGTGAATGTGCTGTTGGGAATAGGCCTAAAAGCGGCACATAAATAAGCATCGCATGAAAAAATTATTACATATTATACACCTAACTGTGAAATGCGAGAATGAAATATGGTTCATAATACCCGCTGTGAAATTTAAGACACGAATAGAAAAAAATGAGTAGATTTGCCTAAAGCATAAAAATATATTTGTGTATGTATATATGTATGTATGTATGTGCTAAATATCATTAAGAATGAAGACATAGCAGAGCATTGCAGCATAATAATCGTTTAAGCTTGTAAGGAATTTTTTTCAAGCGCTTTACAAAGTTTCTTTCGGCTTTTCTTGTTTATTTATTTTTTTTTCAGTAAACGAGAAAAAGCCACAATCGTTTGTGCAAATTGCAAAGAAAATGACTACCGCATACTTAAATATTGATTTGTGATTTGTTTGCTAATTCAAGCATTAGGCGAGATAAGGAATTCTTTTCCAAATCATCGTGTATGTTGCTTGTGGGTTTGTGGAGATAAACTCGTGTATATTCGGAACATAAATAATAAAATTCACATAATTCTATGATAGGCAATTATTGGGTAACAAATGTGTAGGTGTTTTTGCATCATCACATTTGGCACACCAGTTTGACACCACATCAAATGGAAGTCCATGAAATCGTCACAGAGAACAAGGGATATTATATCCACCCAATCCTATAAATCTCCGGGTCCGGAAGGAATCATACCAGCCATACTTTAACTCCCTGTCTAACGACTATTTATAGGGCTAATCTACTCCTTACATTTATACCAAAGCCATGGAGGTGAAGGTATTGGCCCAATGCACGCTTGCTTTGCTTGCTTGGCTTTGAGAACTGTCAAACAATTTTTAAAATCTACTAAAATGTATGAAAGTTGGCCTAGTGGCAGCTTTACTTCGCTTCCTTCAAAGTAAAGCAAAGCAAACTAAAGTAAGCAAAGCAAGCGTGCATTGGGCCAATACCTTAAGAGTGATATTGATTCCCAAAGTAGAGAATATGCGCCTTAATACTACAAAAGATTTCCGACTCATCAGTCTCCGTTTATTTCTTTCTTCAAGTTCATGGAGAGACTTCCGAATTGCGCGCTTCCTTACTCTCGAGGCTTAACATTCTTATCGGAAAGTTAGATCGGTTTAAATAGCCTTACACGCAGTCTAATAGGCATTCTAATAAAAGCAATTTGCGATGGCAGCCTTTCCGGACTTGGAAGGTGCCTTTTAATATTGGCATCTTCCATTAATTCACAATTCTCTGTATTTTTCACAGCTTTTGGTAAAATATATTAAAATACACCTTCACTGAAAATTTTTAAGTGTTCGTACCAAAACCAACGGAGTTATATGCCCTTGTTAAAAAAGTCCTATCTGTTTTTGATTTTCTTTTTATAATGTTTTTTTTTTGCTTCTCGTATAAAATAGAAAATTTGTTGGTTAGGGCCTTTGTGAATTAAGGTAACGATATACTCCTTCATAGTTGCTGAAGGACTAGATAAAGTCATTGCTCTCCGGATCGACAATATGCTGAGTACAAGAAGCACCAATTATTCCTTGGCAATCGGAGAAGTGCAAAAATCGGCCAAATCGGGGGTTCCTATCTATTCTGTTATGCATCTTCGTGCCGAAAAAATTCCTGCTTCGCACATCGAAAGCCACTAAAGTTGTTGCGTTAGCAGATTAATTAGCCAACATGGTCGTAGAGAAATTCATGTAGATGGCCAGTGAGTTATTACAATCTGCAATAGACGATATGGCTGGGTAGCCAGAAAGCAATGACGTGTCCATCTAAAAGCTTAAACAGACGGCGGCGTTGATCCAGATTAACTCGGACTTAATCCGGATCAAATGCAGTTAATTCCCGAGTTAATCCGGATATACAGTTTTCGAAATCTATCATTCAATTCTACAAATCCTAAATTGTCAAAAGACGCAAAGGAGTACTGAAGAGCGGAGAACAAAAGCGTATAATTCGCTCTACTCTGCATGCTTGACTTTTTGCTCAACCTGTAAAACGTGCAACGATAGGCATGTCTATACACAACGAAGTCATTCTACTCAACACTCCACGCTACATTATAGCGCCATGAGAATGGGTACTGGGATGAGACTGATAGTTGAGTAGACTGTGTGTACTATTTGCATGGAGAGCGCCAGATTGGCAAACCTTGCGTTGACGAAACCAACGAAAGTTGGCCAACACTCAACTTAGCACCAAGGAAATTTCGTTGGTACTGACAATTGTATAGGCGGCAATAAAGAACAGCTGATGTTTGTTTATATATGCAACATCTTCATTGTGGCGCCTCTCTCTGTTACGCACGCTACCTCCTTCGCATACTTTACAGGCTAAGACGTACAAGTACTCACTCTCACGGCGCTATTAGGGACTCGCCTGGAAATTTCAGCTATAGATATGTATATGCAATTTACATGGCGGAAAAAGCTGGTAAGCATTATGGACCTAGCTCGAACTAAATTTGCCTTCCTTGTTGACAGTCAAGCTACAGCTCATTGACAACACATCCTCCCACCGCGTAAGTACCGTTCTCCCAACACCTCCGTCAGGTATTTCATCGTAATGTGGCTTAAGCGCTGACTCTTGATTCTTTACTTTTCTGATTTAGTCCGTTAAAAAAGTTGCAAAAATTAAAAAAGGAAGCGGAATTCGTAGATTTCCTAATGGGTAGATCGAATCTTCATTCGGCGGTCTGCATGATTCAGGTGAGACAGGATGCCAATACCTCGTTATAGGAGTAAAGATGTTGGCTACTTCCTCCAAGTATATGCTGCGTATTCCAAAGGAAAACTAACTGGACATAAACAAACCAGGGGACCGATGGATCTTTGAGCCTTTCGCTTCCATAAGTTTTCGCTTACATTCGCTGAGCCACCCTGGCCACCCTTGGTTCAGCTATGCAAAGGGAGCTAACTTTAATATTGGCTTTTCAAACTCCCTGCTGTCTATTTTCTCTTGAAAGAAGAGCCTGTCCCTAAGATTCGTATATCAATATATGCAAATAATCGATCCCTGTTTGAAAAATTCCATTCTTGGCTTGTGAGGAGAAAAGTAAACCATTATGGTAACATATTCAACAATTCAGTACTGGTTTAAAGCTTTAACAAATACATAAATAAAGGTATCAGTGTCCTGATTGCTAAAGAACAAATAATATAAAATTCATAACACAATGATTCCAAACCAACAAAGCCTGAAGTATCTTAAAAAAGAAAACTTTGCATTTCCGCAATGTTCAAAAAGCAAGTAAACCACCATTATTACCGTTAAAATGCACACACTCCGGCTAGGCACTTTAATATAAATACATTTGCCAACTTGACACATCCCGGAAGTATTTACAGCCACTTTCTGTCAAGTGGATTCATCGCACTGCGTGAACGTGCAACCAAAAAGGCGTCGTGTCGTCTCTCGAAGATGGCCATCCTGCAGTCTTGTTGCTTTTGGAAGACAGTGCGTAAAGGCAGTATGGCCAGCGCAACGTACACGTTGGTAAGTACTTACGTATGTATGTGTTTATTTATGTGAAATACTTCCACAGTATGTATGGATGTAGGTACGTGTATGGGTACAACGAAAAGCGCTTATCGAAACTTTTCTTTTCAACTTTGTGACATAAATGAGAACTCTATAGTAGATTATGAACTCTCTTTTTGTGGCATTCTAAGAACTTACCAGATATTTCGAAACGAATTTCATTCAATTACTACCCAAGTATTTACATAGTACGCAGTTGAAATTTTTTAATGCTCTTAAATTTTGTTGTCTTCCGTTCTTTTGTAAAAAAAATAATAGTAAGGATTTACCGTGATTTTTCTTTTGTTGATTTAGATTGGAAGACCGCAGCAAGCAGATAGCAAGGGTAGACAATTGAAAGCAAGTTTCTCTTTCGAGTTTCATGAAACGGTAGTAGCATCAACAGAAGTCATAGTCTAATTTTTTTATGTAATTTGTTAACTTCTATTTCCGTATTGTATGTTGTATTGTAGGTTCCAGTTTTTTTAACTATTTTCGAACAGACATATTTAAATGAATAATTATCCAAAAAATTTACGAAAATATAGCAAATAAAGGAAAAAGTGAGTAGATACTTATAACATTTATAATTGGGTATTTGTTTATGTTTCATATTTAATAACTCCTTTTAATCGCGAAGCTTGAGTTTTGCTATTTATTATTTTGTTTTCATCTTCAATGTGAAGTTCAAAAAAATTTGCGCACTTGTTGGTATTGTGAGTTATTCTGCCACATATCGATGGTTCTCTGCAATAGCGACACAATTCAAAATTTATTTTTCTGCAGAACATCGATATTTGTTTACTTGTTGTAGTGGCAATCCTTACTACTGAACAGTGGCACATGTCTCTAATCCTTGTCTAATCCATGGCTAATCTTTACTTGATTTTTATTTTGGCAATGGTTTTTACAACTAAGTAGCATTTTTTCTTTAATACGAACTAACTACAGTCAAATTTTTTAACAAACCACAAATTAAAAAGTGACCCCTTTAGAACACTCGGTCGGCAAGAGTTAAGCTATTTTTTTATTGAAAAATCTGGGAAAACATATGACATATTTTTGGTCATAATTATTATTTGCCAAAAAATGTGTAAAATGTCCTATGTTGCAATGTCGAAATGACTAGCTGCCCAGTCAGTGCGACGCAATTTTTAGTTGTTCCCTAAAATAATTTACCATCGGATCAATTTTCAACCAACTTCCTGATGAGCCGGAGGCTCGAAATTACAAACTTAGCTCAGAACCCGATTACTATGCATTCATATTGCATGAATAAATCCGCTAGGTGGTACTGGAGTCGAGATATTTGAAACCCCCGTATTTATTTACAGTCTGGTTTAAATAATATCAGAATTGTACATATCGTCACCTGAGTGGAAGATCGACCTCTCGTCAGCCAGTTCGAAAACGCCCTATCTCTGAAAATTTTTCAAAAACGCCCTTCTTCAGAATTTCATTGGAGAGCACCCTATCTCAGAATTTGATTGAAGAACGCGCTATCTAAGAATTCGGTTCAAAAATGCCCTATCTCAGCCGAAAATACATTGAAAATGTGCTGAGTTAGGAAGTTTTTGAATCGGCAGCTGAGATTGGGCGACCGACTTCCTGTGTCCTTTAAATAGGTACTACAAGAGCCATTTTCGCCAAAAAGAAAACTAAAAACGTTTTAGTAGACATGTCTTCAATGGAATCAACCACTTAGTTGAGTATTTTGAAACATTTCGAAATTTGCACTTTCTGCCGCTCTTAGACCACTGTACGTTGTTCGCATTTATTATATTTTCGCTCAGCTCAGCTTTATATCATCTTAATAAAAAAAATATTTTCGTCACCCACTTTTAGTATTTTGGGTGATTTTCCATTGGCAGCCACTTTCGCAAAATCAAAATAAATCAATCTCAGATAAGCAAGTTTATGATTTAAAAATATGTTTAGCATTAAACTAATACATTTACACGCATATGAATAACCGTAAAGCGTGCTTAAATGGACACCATACTTTCATGAGCACTTTCAAACGTAGTTTCAAAAGTAATTTGCTGATTTTACGACTCTTTGACTTCTTTCCATGAATTTTTATGTGCCAACACATACATACACAAATTGTATATGTATTCATCAACACGTGATTACATTTGTGTAGTTATGAATGTGCCACAGGGAGTCGCCATGGCGATCTAAAAGTCAAATTGCTTATTAAATACGAAAATTAAGTGCGCCAATAAAACGCGCTGGCATCTTGTGGTACTTACTCGTAATAGGTATATGCCCACATACTTATGTACACGTGTTAGATATACATACATATGTACACGAGCGCGTTATGCAATTGTATTTTGTTGCCATGATGATTGCAATTTTGTGTCGCCAACTGCTACTACCATCACACACACATGTACATACTTGGCTATTTCTAACTCTGAAGGTATTTTTCCGACGGCTGTTGGCACCTACGAAATATTTTTACGCCGCGCTGTGAAAATTGGCAAACCCACACAAATCTGTTGAATTTCGCGGAAATTATTTTGCTGCCCAATGGCAAAAAAAAAAAGATGATGCGCAAATAAACGGATTCGCCTTCAGCAACAGACGCTAAGGCAATTGATGCCACAATAACCCATTTGAATGGCTGGCTGCCAAAAGGCGGAATTGCAAATTTCCAAATTTGCAATAGGGTTGTGTAAACACAATGAATCAGGCAATTCGCTGCCACCTTGTAACCTTAACATGAGACATGGCCTTTGCATGTTGCTAGCTTTACTGCTAACGTAAAAGCTTCCCAATCGTCTTTTCTTCAGTTGTCTATTTGGATTTTTATAACTATGGACTTGTATGGTAGGCCACACATTGCTTGTTGCTTGTCATCCATCACAAGTGATTGCATATCCCCAGCTACTTTGAATACATTTTGTTAGTTCTTTGAAATATGTATGCACTCAATTGCTTGCCTATTTGTTTATTTTGCGTGGCTGTAGGCTTGGTTGTAAAAATAACAGCATCACCATTTATTTGCATAATTGAAACAGGAGCACCCTCTTACGCCACCAGCACACAAACACACATCCAGATCAGCCAAGCATGAATNGGGGGGGGGGGGTACCATTTTTTCGAAGAATTGCATTGAAAAACCAGTGAGTTTATCTGCCCACCGATCCCATAACATTTATCTTTCTGAGAGGTATGGGGATACTTTTTTTGTCGAAAATTCGGTGAAAATATTAAAATGTTCTGCTTTCGAAAGTCCAACTCGCATGAATTTTGAATATCATGTACATGTATACATACATACAAATTATCATTGGCGCACCCAAGTAAAGAGGTTTTGTGGTTTAAAATCGATCCGTGAAAGACGTCGCGAAACCCGCATATGCTTTTCATTCAAATAAGGATATGGATAAGCGGCAAGAGTTAACGGGGTGTGCTTAGCTCAGTGGTTAGCATTGCTGACTTTGCACATCGATGATGCGGGTTCGATTGCTGCTGAAGTCAAGAGAAAAAAGTCTGATGAGGAGATGTGTGGTTGTCTCCGAAATTACAGTTATAACGTCTACCGCTTAGACTTTGTTGCTTTTTTCCTAACGCACAAATTGTGGTATAAAGGTCAATAATACATTTACAATAATTTTACAAATTGGTACCCATCGTGTGTTGCGGCATTTGCAAATGCAATAAAATATGAAAGGAAATAAATTCTCATGTTCGTGATCAAAAAATTTGGCCATTTGGAACCCGTTTTGGTATGTTCTTTGATACCTAAAAATGTGCTAGAATGGCAACACTGGCTACTACCGTTTCGATTCTAGCAATGTATTTTAAACTGTACTTCAATTTTTTCCCCCAAAATGTCAGTTAGGCTTTTCTGGCTCTCACAGTCTCAAATCAACCTCAAATCGTGGATACCCCAAATTGTGTGCAAACTGTGAACATTTGAGACAGTGGTTGTTGTTGTTGTAGCGATGAGACAGTGGTCAAAAAAGCCACGAAAGGTTCGGAGTGTCAATGCAATGGAATCAATAAAAAATTCACTTTGATGGCCTTTTCTTCGGCTGTTTTAATTAGATTTATTCGTATTTAGAATCGGGTAAAAGATGCTTACCACAGGCAGGAGTAGGTACCTCGACCCATATTTTGTTCGAAGTGAGCAGTCACAGTGCTTTCGTAGGATTAGCGTCCACAAAGCCAAAACCTTTAACCCACTAAGAATTAAATCATTTGACAAGGGATCCAGAATTATCTAAAGAATCTGCAGAAGTATTGGCTAATAAATAACTAATTAAAAAATAAAATTGTTGGCGTCAAGTAAAAACGTGACGATCTCTCATACAAGATAGCAAGGCTTGCTATAATTTTTTCATTCGGAAAATTGTATTGTTTTTAATTCAGATGTGCAAGGCCTTATGCTGGTAATGGGACTGGTAGAATGTCGCTGGGCAAAAATGGGCAGTTTAAGGCCTGGCAGCAAGACATCGCTTGTGGCCTTAATATTCTTTACATTTACAAGAGGGTATTGTCTCTAACGAATTTTCCGTATATTTTGGTGATATATCATTAAATGTGTAAAACCCCCCAAAAATATTTTTCTGGGTGCGCCCTTGCATCACGGTATACATACATTCTAGGCATAGTGAACAAGGTAGAAGTGATAACTCAGTTGAGCTCTCTCATAGCTGACTGTAATGTCGAAAAATCTAAACAAAGAAATTAACCCTTTGTTATGCATGTACCATATTTGGTAAAACTTTATATCTTTGAAATTAAAGTTTTATGTAAAAATGAAAATATTTAAAATCAGCTTAATTTTAGTTATTGCATTATCGCTTTAATGTAAATGTGGAAATGCATACTAACACAAAATTACACACTAAATGAAACAAACTCATCAATAAAGCCGTTTTGGCAATTTTCTTGCTTTTAGTTAAAGTTTAGTTAGTTAGTTAAATTTAATTCTTTTAAATTTACATCAGAACTTAACTTCAATAATTTAGCAATTAAATTTTTGCAATGCAAAGTTTCTATTCCGTTAAATTTATTAAAAATTACTTCCAGTTTTTTATGGCAACAAGGAATTCTGCTTTAGGTTCTATTAGACCACCATTTCAAATTTGGTCTATCCATGTGTTTGAGTGGAAGATTCTCTCTTCATATTCCGTATGATAAATCCTGCATCTGTAAACAAACGCGTCCGTTTAGAAATATTTACCCGGCTGCGATGGGCAACAAATTAAGTCACTGGCACGAAAATGGTTTTCACGAACACGTGAAGAGTCTCCTAATCAAACATCGCAGCAATTTTCCCACCGCACAAGTTTGATGTCCTGGCACTTGTCGCACACCGCACACCGCTCCTTTTCAATTTTATTATGTATTTAAAATCAGTCGCACAGCTCACAATTGAAAATATAAATTAAAAAATTAAAATTTTGAATTTTATAGGCTTAAGGGTTGACATTTCAGTCGCAGTTCAAAAGAGAGAAATGTCGAAATCACTGCTACCTTGTTACTTATGCCTTGACATACATTCATAAAAAGCCTTCTACGAAAAATTCAAAAGTACAGATACATAGAGATGAGCTACAACTTCAAGTGAACAACAGTAATTTTGAGAATTTCACTTACCGCAAGCGATGGGGAAGTTGTAAAACAGTTTTCAGTTAAGTTTTCATTTCCAGTTTATTCTTGCATATCCTTTAAAATTTGCAATATTATTTTTGAAAAAATCATATGTTGAGGAGTAATATACATATGACAACATCCTCGAAATTCGTCCTTCAAAATTTGTTTGCTTAAAAAAAAATTAATTCACTGAAAGGAACTATTCGTCCTTTGAATGAAAAAACTGTAACTTTTTTTTTAATTCTGCAGAATTTGCTTTTCATTTGGGACTTGGGAGCTTTATTCTACACTGCACTGCATTTTTCACATAATTTTTTTAATTAAATAATCATACCTTTTACACTTCAAAGTCCTTTCAAAAATCCTGACATCGTGGCTCATAGTTTCGTGTGTTTTAAATTTTTTGTTTTGTGGGACGGTGTAATAAATCGCAAAAAAATTTAGTTAATTTTTGACTTTTATTATTTTGAGTAAAAACACTGAAAATCATTTGCTTTTTTATCATCACGATCACGAAATGTCCCGAAACTGGAAAAATTTCGAAAAGCTCGAAAGAACTCATATTATCGGAATAATGCAGACGCTCGAAGTCTCGCAGACGTTGTAGGCAGTGCACGCAAGACTAGACAAGAGTGGGTGCATAAGATACTTCACTAGCAGCCAATACCTTTATAAGAAGCTGGCGCAGCAGCAAAAGTGGTCCGTGGGTTAAGGGAATCAAAATTGTGAAAACAATGCGAATTGGGATACCCAGCGAAAAGAGGATTGCACAAGGGGATCAGAGTCGGCACTGGCACTCCAGGACTTCCGCTTTAGGATTGTTATACGATTTCCAAATAGGGAAGAATGGGACTCTGGCCTACTACATAATGGTACATATTTCCATCTACACTGGCGGCTCAAAGATGAAAAGAGGATCACATGACCTGCCTAACGACTGCAGTGTCTTTAAGGCGTAAAGAAGACTGCTTGTTTTATACAAACTAGTAAGCCCTGTAAAGGGGTATGCGCTCGAAGTGTTACCTATTAAAAATGTTATAATTTTGTCTATTTTATTTATTTTTTATTCAAAAAAACTAGTCAATGTTTAACAAAAGTTTATCAACTACTGTTCGATGTAGAAATCTTTAGGCTGCACGAATGTGGTCCAGTCGCATTTTGTATTGAACAGGGACTAAAGTTAAATCAACAAATCTACTGTAGAACAATTTTAAACGATGCTTTGTTACATTGGGAACGAAAACAATTCGATAAAAATCTCGAAATTTAGCGTTTTTTAGAAAAAGGCTTCCCAGCCATGGCCACCATATTCACCAGACTAAAAGCCAATGGGCTTTTCCAAATGGTCCATTCTCAAGTCCATTGTATCAACAAAAAAATTTGGGACAGTCAACGCCTTGAAGACTGCTCTTCACCGTCACTGGGACAAAATACCACCGGACAACATTCGTTCAGCATGTGAAGCATTCCCGGAGAGACTCGATCTTATTATCCGAGCTAAAGATAGCCACCTCGAACAGTAATACACTTTTCTTACACTTTTGCTAGTTTTTATGATGCTGATTAATCTTTTTGAATAAAATTATATCATTTTCAATAGGAAACACTTCGAGCGCCTTACCCTGTCCACCCCTAGTAATGAATTCAAGAACGAATCACGTCAACGCTGCTCTCTGCTCGGTTTCTATGCCAATGAGATCGTTCGAAAATGCAGATAATAACTTTTCTAAACCTTGCTGTGTGTGGCTTCTGGAGCTGTATTGCGTGGGTTTAAAAGCATTTACTTTCCTACATTTTACTTTCTTCCTTAAGTCAACTTAGACGGTTAATTGCTTACCCTAGCTACACCTACCTTATATCAATTGTGAACACCCACCAACAGTAACTTGTACTCAGCTCAAATGCACCTCATGACTCCGCTCACTCTATGTATATACCGTTTTAAATTCATAAGTACATAAAACAATCATATCATTTAGCAATTTAATTACTCTGCTTGCAGGTGTACTTTGGTTTCTCCACAATTGTGATGCTCATTACTGTTTATGATGAGCAAGAATATCTGGCTGGCACCAGAAGACGACCCATAGGAGAGAGTTTCTTGGCGAGAGGGGAGATAACACCCGGTAAGTGAGCAAACAAAGTTTGTAGAAGTGTAGTAAGATGAGTGGAGATTTTCTCACCTTGATGTTAAACATAAGTAAGTGTACATAATTAACATTTGATTACAATTTGTGTCATTACAGCCATTGTTATATTCAATATTCTCTTTTTGATTTGCTCGGCGTGCTTAGTTATATGTTCGTTGCTGGTGTTCGCAGGAATGAAACGTGTAAGTATGGGTTAGCGAGTGTGCAATTAATTTTTATTAGTTAACTCTTTTACGCGCAAAGCAATAAAAACTAAAATCAACTAAAGTGCTCTTAAACTAATGGAGTTTTTTTTTATTTTTTTTTTATTCCTGTTTTCAGCATCGTAGCGCGTTTCTGTTGCCTTGGATCGTTTTCATGCTGTGCGATGTGTTAATTGAACTTTTTCATTTGGTTTACTTATCAATAACACAGATGGTTAATTTCGATCCAGTTGTAGGCTTCATTTTTACCATCGATTTTTTTATTATGTGCCTGAATGTAAGTAGAAATTTTATATGTATGTATGTGCATATATTTAAGGACGCGTAACAATCATTTTTGAGTTGTGATTGAAGTGCAGAGGAATGAGAAATTAGGACAATAATATTTACTTGACCTGTCTCTTTTTTTAAGTCAAAATAAGCCAAAAGGCTCAACCGTTTTCATTAATTGAGGCATTAGGAATTCTGTCATAGGATATGTTTCAGTTTAGTTAAGATTTTCGTTTGGGTATACCGCAGCCGTTTATTGGGGTGATTAATGAAATTTTTTGCTGTTACTTAGGGTAAATTAGCTGTATACCCTTTTGCAGGTTGATTTAGAGTAATTACATCTATTAAAAAGAGTGCAAACATTTTTTCACTTAAAGTTGTTTAGTTTTTGCATACAAACAAGTAGCCAGTGGCATTAATAAATTTCCAAACAAAATGTTCTAAGTAGTAAGATGTCCCACCATTATATGCGCATACAAAATAAGATTGTTTTCATAATTATTACTATGTATGTTTGTGGCGCATAGAACCCAACAGCGAATGGAATGCATTGCGCATCGATGCCTCACTGATGAAAAGTAATGGCATTTTTCTATTGAAGTATGCATTACATTTGACATAGCATTTAAGCACTAAAATACTTTTTGGCAAAAGGTAATGCAACTTATGTGATGATGATATGTATATAGAAATGTCTGGCAAAAGATTTTTACCAAAATGTAAGGCATATAAAATAAGGGTTCGACATCAATTGCCTGTCAATCGGTGAAAGTACTTCGAAAAAAATTTATGTAGTACATATTTGATACATTGCAAGTGATTACGTTTGAGAAGCACTTCATTCACATTTTAATGCGATTGCATTACTTTGGAGTCGACTCTGGAGTTGGTGGCAATCGCATTTTCGCTGCTGGGTATATTTGCATATTGTATTGGGTATACATGCTTACGCTCGCAAATTTATTCATACATTTCTACACCAACCCTCTTATCTTATTCATTTTCATATTGCTTCTTTCTTTATTGCTGCTTAGACGTATTGTCTGCTGTGCGTGATATCACAATATCAAAATTACCTGCAGGGACGTGGATATGCGGATCAACAGATGCGGGTAAGCATTGCCGAGAATTCGATATGCGGGGTGAAATTCCACATTTTATATGTCTATGCATCTATTCTGGGAATTCGTTCACTTATATATACATACATACATATGTACACACATGCACATGCATCGATTGGGGCATGACTTTTAGCTTACATACATATGTATGTATGTATGTGTGGGGTAAATAATACCCGTTTATATTTAATAAAAGTTATTCTACATGTCAGCCGTGAGGCATAAGCCACCTTTTCAAAAAATCTAGTTAATGATAACACAAATTACAATTTAATGGTATTTGTTCATTAAAAAAAAATTGCATTGCATCTCTGGTGTCCAAATTTTTTTTTAAAAAGATTTTAAAGTTTCAAAGATGTGATTAGTTCCAAAATTAATTTAAAAAAATGCAATGCAATTTATAATATGTAGCAATATGGTTACCAAATAAATAAGAAAATTTTGTGAAATTAAAAAATATTTAAGTGTTTTTTCCATAAAGACGAATTAGTATTGAAAATGTTCTTCTAAAATTGTGTCCTAGCGTATCCTTGCAAATTTGGTGTGTTTATTTTTGAAAAAAATTATAGGATAAGGATTAATAGACACATGACCATATCCTCGAATTTCGTCCTTGTACTTTAATAGCTTAAAAGCATAAAAATAATTAAAAGAATATTTTCAATACCAATCCGCCCTTGTGAACCAAAAAATTTAATACTTTTAAACGTAGGTTACTTTTTTTATGTATGTATGTATCTATTGAAGAACTAGCGAATAGGAAACACACAGTTTAAATTTAATAATTTCTTGGTTTTTTTTTTTTAAACATGAGAAGGAAATTATGTTACTCATACGCCATGTATCCACGAGTTAAATAAAACTTAAGCTTAAAAACCCGCTTTCAAGAAAAATAACAAGAAATATTTTCCATTATTTCTGTTGCTTGAAAAAGCACTTTGTTTGTTGTAAATTTTCTTGAAGGAATAAATATACGATACAATTTTTCTTTAGAGCTGCAAACTGATTTAATAAATTTTCACAAAAGAAAATGTCTTTTTCTTCAGTTCTTGTGCGTCAGCTTAAAGGAATTTTTCGTTTTTCTTGAGAGCTCTGCACAGCACTTCAATAGGAAAACCATGGTGAAATTATACCCAGTGTAGTACTAAAAGTGAGAAGAAAGCTTTGACACTATCTTATTTGAAAATTTGGCTTGAAAAATTTTATATAGCCATAAAATAAATAAAATAGAAGCTGCATAACAGCCAGGGGCCCTGACTTAACAAGCAAAATTTAAACCAAACAATCTGAATCGTATGTACAAACTTATAAAAATAAAAACTACGCCTAAGAAGATCGCTTGTCTGCATCCGTTCCCCACGCGCCCAGAAAAACATTGAAATTTTTAACAAATGAATTGGCATTTTTGAGCCCGTCTGTCTCCGATTAGTCCACATGTGTCTAAGGTACTCCTCTCTCTTCCCTCGGTGAGACTGACTCGAAAGAGCCTTTCCAGAGCCAACTTATCGGGCAAGTAAATGGTTTTCTGCAATATTATTGCGGCCTGACACCCAAATAAATCTCACTAGAAATGCACTGTGAGCGAATCCAAGGCCCTAATTCAGTGGCGCAGATGGTTGCGTACTAGGAAAAAGGTGTTAATGGCATTGATTAATCGTTAACGAACTTTGAGGAGGGGATTAAGGGTATTAATTAATTATTATCTATAATTTAAGATTGATGGACAGTCCCCTGTGGTGCTGCCATACTCACAGTTTTAACTGTAAATTACAATTTAAGTTAAAAACGATTTTAATTTTTTGAATTTCATATGGAAATTGACAGAAAATAAAAAAATCATTTTCAACTTAAATTGCTGATGAAACCGGCTATTGTAGGTTCTAAAATTAAATTTAGCTCCTAGTACGAACTGAAGTTTCTTCAAAACCTCTGATTTGAACGAAAAAAAAAAATATCTCTTTTTCATTGTTTTCTGGAAGTAAATTTTTTAAATAAAAAGGAGCGATAGAGATGGGGTTTTTTCTATTTTGAAAAAAATCGAGTCAACTGCATTCCAGTAATGGGGTTACATTTTTTTTTTTTTTTTTGAAAATGCAGTTTTTTCTTAGGAACCTACACTAAAGACTTATCAACCGACCGTTTAGTCAAGCTTCGATACAGTTGTGTACAATTTCACCGATTCTTCCTTTCAACCAGCCATATGTACCCGCCGTCTAAAGACGATATGGGGAAAGAAAAAAATAATTGGTCTGGTCACGTAGTGCTATTAAAAATTATCCAGTAAAAATCAGATTATCAGAGAGGCTCCATCTCTTCTTCATTCTGTTCGCAATGTTAAGGATGAAACTGAAACGATCAGCCAAACACCGTCAATCGAGGGAAGGGTTTTGTGGGGTTACATATATAGTGTAGTGGCTACTGTACAAGACAATGAAGGAATGTTTATTGGTTTGTTTAAACTTTAGCCCTTAAATCATGTTTCAAAGAATTCACAGATATTTTCTTTCCCGTTATTTATTTAACATTTATTACCTGTTTTCTTTTATCCCAGACGGAAATTGTGATAGAAACAGTGGATGGCGAAGTGACGGAGAGGCAAAGTTGTCTGAAAACAACAAAAATTAACAAATCATTGGCAAGTCCTTATATAACGACGAACCCGAACACTCATATTTCGACGATACCAGAGGAGATGGATCAGAATTACAAAATTCGTACAAGCTCAGGTAATTAAATTGCTTTTTGCCAAATACGAAAATACTTACAAACATATGTATGTAGAGCAGTGCTTGAAAGGATATATCCAGCGCAATGAAATCAATTTTTCTTTTAATTTTTCCTTTATTCAAAGCAACTATAAGCAATTTATTATAATATAGAAAAGTATTTTAAATTTGGTGATACAAGTAAGCTTCTTAAAATAAAAGTCAGAAAATTCGTTTCGTCAATCACAATTCCACATAATTTCACATATACATACACACATATAAAAACTGTAAATAAGCTTTAAGGAGCAATGACTTTTGAACGCCAAATAGTTTTTGATTCAAAAATATTTTATTGCTGTCATCCATCAAATTAAACTCAAACTATTTGACCCCGTGCCCTCATAATTGATTTACGCTGATAAAAGGTCTCGTTAATCACGTCAAAAGGAGATCGAAGCATAAAGCTGCGGAAACATCAACAATACATAAACAACACATGTACTACACACATACTTATGTATGTACATATGTATATATGTATGTATGTATGCACTAAATGGGAGCCACAATTCTGGCCACAAACTGAAATTGCTCGGTAAACTTTGTGTGTGCAAAGTGAGCACGTACAAAATCGCCCAAAAGAAGGAGAATGGGTCTGATAGATTGCCGAAATCCTTCCGAAATATTAACTAGGGCAATTTTGTGAATTTAAACCCTGTAGAGAAGCGCACTGGTGTCGAACTGGTTCGGTTCTAGAGAATTTAGAACCATGACTAGTAAGCGTTAATTCTCTTTTGCATGCCAGCAACTGGAATCGGGTAGAAATGTAGTTTCTAAAAGTAAAATAAAATACAAGTTACAGCCATTGGGCTGCTGAGGATCTAGTTACTATCAGACTGCTTCGTGTTTGACCAAAAAGAACTAGTACTAAATTAGAAAGTTGATTCACTAGTTCGGGCCTTCCATGCAGGGAACACATAGCTATGTATGCATTAGTATTTGTTTGTATACAAATTTATTTTTCGGAAGTTCCAACGAAAGTTCGAGCATTTATGCTTCAGCAGTAAAATAATTGTAAAGCACCCTGATTTGGCAAATTAAAAACTGGCGTTTACAGGAATTTTGAATGATGAAGTTACCGCAAAAGAAAAATGAGTAATACGCTTAACACTAAAAAAAGTAAGAGCCAGTATTTAATGCTGAAAGTTGAGCAGCTTCCATCAGCGGTCATGCAGACTAAGTTAGTGGATATGTGTGTATGTAAATTTCGGTGTTCCTTTCAGATGAAATCTTTTGAAGTCGCTGTAAAATAAGTGTTTTTCACTTTATATCTCTCTACATAAGGGCATCGCAAAATATAAGGGACAATTTTTTTCGAAAATTGTGTACGCACATCCTAATATTTTCTTCGATTTGGAATATCCCAATACCAATAAGTATGGATATCTGACGATGATCGATATGTCGGCCTTGTGGGTGACTTCAAAGGGCTTGTGCTCCGGATAAGTCTTCAGTACTATCGCAGCTTATCAAGCTGGCCAAGTCTCGATGGCACCTTCGGTGTTTGCGCTGCAGGTCCGCTGGTTCGTTGTATGTACTTTTTTGAGAGAAACAAACTTTTGAAATTCATTGCGGGCTTTTTCTGGTATTGGAGACCTCGGTGGCAATGTGGCTTTAGTTGAGGTGGAGGTTGCCTTTTTGAGAAGCTCTTTTCGTTTTATATTCATAACTTGTCTTACATATCGTGAAGAAAGGGCCGTTCAAGCATCCATTGTAACCGGAACGGAATAGCTATTCAGCAAAGGTTGCCCGGTATCCGAAACCTTCCGCTCACTTCTACACTTATTTTCGAGTTTCATGGCGCGATTAAACCTAGCTGATCCACCGTAGGGGTCGTATGACACCTTGAGCCGGCATTGAAAGTCGAAAGAAAAAGAGTACGAACAGAAATTTTTGGTGAGGTGGATATGTAAGGTAACTCATAATAAAAAAGAAAATGCTCTTTAAAATGTATATCCTACTATAGGATATTGAAAAAAATCCGAACTTAAATGAGTACCCTATTTTGTCTTTCATTACAATTATATTTTATAAATGAACCGACCCGATCTAATGTATACATAACATACATGCACGCGTCCAAATATTTCCATATGTACGTATAATTATATTGTACTTGTGAGCAATGAAAAATTATATTCCCGCAAAAACATGACAAGCAAATATGTATGTAGATATGAGCGCATACATGATAGCAAGTAATAAATATTTGTTTAATATGTCTGTATATATTTGCATATACTCGTAATAATAATGTGCTATAAAATTGTGCATAGTAACTTCAAGGCAAGGCCCAGGTTTTCATTTGGTTTTTTTTTTTTAACTTTACGCGCTTTTCATGGACTCACAAATTTCGTATTAACAGATTTTTTTTAACAAAAGCTACGCCACACTCCTATGTACATATATATAAACACAATTATTGCACCCAACTACCGTATACAAGTATGCGTATATACATATATGTCTATATATATTTATCTGGGATTTGTTTGTATAACTAATTCCATGTTTGCAGCAACGTTTTCCTGTTTCCTGTTGCCAGCTGTTTGTGGTTGTTCGGGCCATATGCGTTGGCATTATGGCAAGCTGTCAATGCACAGTGGGAGAAATGGTCAATTTGGCGGCATGCAATTTTAAATTTTCGAATCTCTCTTATTATTATTTTTTTTTTACAACTAACAAACCAACGGATTTGATGCTGTTTTTTTGATTTTGCTTCCAATATTTGTCCAGTTGTGAGCGTTCAAACTTAGCATATGTATGTTGCAGCAAGTGCATTAATTATTTTCGCGCTTTTTTGCAGTACAAAGTTTGTGCAAAGAAAAAATTTTATTTTTCTTACTTTCTATTTGGATTAGTGGTTTAACTGAACTTATTAGGTATGTGTTAAATAAAAAACAATGTTTGTGGCCTATGCTTATAGGTTTTAATGCTTAGTCGTGGTACAAAATGCCCTTTCTGATAAAGTGTTTTAGCATGTGTAACCCAATCTTCTATGGAATAAAACTTGTATGGATTCGACAGGATTCGCCGCAGTATTTTATTTGTTTTCAGTATGATCTATAGTCTATGTTAAGTTGAAGAATTAGGTGCAGGTTTTTGCAATTTTTTTAGGTACAATTTCAGAGTCAAAAAGGCACCCATTGTTTGATTTGACACAGTAAACCAGTATCAACAAAAAAGTTTTTGGCTGTCAAAAATCATGTATTTTCTAATATTATTGATCCCTCAAAACATACAAATACAGAAATTATTACACCTAAAATTTGTTATTTTTTCGAAGGCGCCGCCAGATTGGTCATTTCTCCCACTGTGCAACGTAAAAAAAAGGCTTACAAGTATACAAGCCTGCACATATATATGTACATATGTATACATATACATAGGTATTAACAAAAGAAAAGGTCATGACCTACATATTTATATAACCTTATTGGTGAAAATGTTTTGTTGGGCGAAGTAAACGCAATGATTAATTTTAGTTGGCATTAAGCCCTGGGGCAACACCTTAACACATGTTTATATAATGTATGATGTGTGTTTACCAACATACGTATGTATGTGTAAGCTTCGGAAACAAATTTTATCAGTTCAATTACACGCAATTTTCGGACAATCAAACACCGGAACCCAAGCTTATTATGAGCCATTAGTGCGCAGATTAAGGTTAAAAAAAAAAAAATGCAGTTCTGCTGTTGGTAATTGCCAATTATGCGTCACATACATCATAATATATACGAGTAGTATACATACATACTACATATTATATAAGCACATACAAGTACTACATATAACCAAGAGTAAATCACGAAAAAAAAACGGTGCTCTGCGTGCGAATTAAAAAATTTGATCTGAGTTATTTTGAATTGAATTATGTGTGTACTACCTAAATATTTTGCGTAAATGATGGGTTAATCTTCATCGGTTTCATTTCTAGTTCTCCCCTGTCCTCGCGATGAATTCATAATAATGAGCTTTTCAGTGTAATTTTCGGCATGCCTTATATCCAGTCCAGTTATTCCGATATTCCGAAATTCCGCTGCATAAATTATTTGCTAATGTATGCAATTACATACGTATGTATGTATGCCTATTTTCAGTGCGTTTAGGAACGTTTCAATGGATAGCTTTGGATTTTGGATTACTGCGAATATGCACATAACGGTTTAAGCATAAAAAGTGGGAAATAGTTTAATGAAAAAGTTGGCAAGCCGAATTTCGTCTCCACCTGGTACTTATGTACATTGTAGAGAAGGACTTGCCATAGGGCTGGGGTAGCCTAATGTTCCTGCATGTGGTATGTAAATGTGTAGTTATGAAGGAAATCCAATCAACAAATGAAAGAGTAAAGTAATATGCAAAACACCTTCCTTTTCTGGAAATCATAAGAATTCCTTGTCCGATTCATTAATAATTTTTTTTTTATGTATGGAATTTCAAAATAAATCTAATGACCTCAAGTGAATAATTTCTAAAACATATATGTGGGTTAGGGCGGGTCAATTTGTATGGGAGATTTTTTTCGACAGAAGCATTTTTTAGCACAGAAGGTTTCTACGTGTAATTCTAAGCAAATTTGCCGAAGAAACCAGGGTTCTAAAATCAATCTGGATTTTTTTTTTGCATTTTGCTGTACTGTCGTAAAGAAATGCTTAAATTTTGTAAATAAATATGCTATGATGGGTTTTTTGGACTGAAGAATCTTTTTCTGGACCTAGATTTTTTTCTTAAAACTTCCACCAGAGGGTGCAACAATGAAAATTTTCACATTTTCTTCGAAGCCTAATTGCGCAATTTGGTAAACCCCTATTGATTTTAGACCCATGATTTCTTCGGCCTAAAAATTTAGCAGTATCTCTACAAATTCAAGTGAACATTAAACAATTTTTTGTTGTTTTTTCGCTCACAACTTCGCGGTCGTCCTTAAAAGACATTTTTCTGATCTCTTCAAGCGATAGACCTTCCGTGCTCGACTTCCTACTCCTGGAAGTTTCGGACCTTCTAAATCGGCTTCACGAAATATTTAATGATGACGCCGCGACACGCTTTCATCAATTCTTTTTTTATTTGACATCCGTTTCTTTAAAAAAAAAACCTCCTCGTCTGCTTCCAAATAGCAGAGCTATTGAAAGGTCTTCCCATACAGCTTCCAAAAGCTCCTCAATTGCCATTGCATATGATTTTCTGTAAGCATTTACCATTGGAATTCGATTATTCGTTCATCTTAACTGCGCAAATTTGCAAGATTAGTCTCATTAGTCACAAATTTTCGGGTAGGAAAAGCCAATGAAAATTACTTATAAAAAGGCTAGCATTATAAAAGCTAGAAAAAAGCCAATAAGCTAGATCTAAAATTCGGAGCCTAGAGTAAAAGTATAATTATAAAATCTAGCCTCAAAAAGGCTAACCTGGTCACACTGATCACAAGCTTGACACACACAAAAAAAAACGAATGATTCTAAATAATTTCCAACAGCTGCACTCGAGTGCCTGACCAACACAACAATCAAATGATAGAAAACGTTTGTTTTTAATAGCGGTTGGTATTCGAAAGACAATCCCAAAATTACAAGGGTAGGTACTTATGTATGTATGTATGTATATCGAAAAACCATTCGCCACTGGTTACAGATCTGCACTCATATGCTTATATATATACACACCCACTCCTCTTCAATATTTGAATAATCTGATTAACGAATTCATGTTGCAATTTTTATATGCGCTATATATGTATATACTATATATGTAAATATGCAAAATTTTAAAAATAAATTGTCTCGAGCGCTTTTCATAAATATTTTTAAGCTTTCACTTACCTGTATTTTATCGTGAATTTTCTTTCAGCAGGCACGCCGAGTGAACCAGCCGATGACAAAAGTTTACACATAACAGTGAACATACCACCATAATTGTAACGCAGAACTGAATCGAACTACACTGTGCTGAATTTTTACACATTCATATATGTACATATGTATATCATGGCATGCCATGGGGAAAAAATGTGAGGAGGGGAAAGAGAAAGAGCAACGGGAAGGCAATGGTTTCAATCGCACTTGTATCAAATCCGAAAATTACTCTTTTACGCAAGCGAATATTTGTGAAAGGAAAATACTTGCAAAAGTTGCAAAAAAGGAGAAATGCATATTCTTCGTGGTAGTTTACAAGAAATTGCCGTATATTCCTTTGTAAATTTCATTGTAAAATATATATTTTTTTTCAGGCATACAATACTCGTATCTTTTTCTTTCCAACACTAAAAATAAATGCTTATAGAAGTAGTATATGTATGCATGTATGTATGTATGTATGTGTGCAGCACTTGTCTTTTTGTGCACACACAGCTATGGAGGAAAATATGTGAAAAACCTATCGACTAAAAAATGAACAAACCAATTCGGGAAAATATTTATTCATGACTTTGTAAATATTTTGTGATTTTAAATCGAACACTTGTATGTATGTATATGTAAGTAAATTCATAACGTAATTTTACGGAATTTAGATTATGGTAATAAATAAGTTTTAACCATTATATTCCTTTTTTAATTGCAAATTCTATGACAAGGTGAGTATTTACATTGGCTTTAAAAAATTCTGAATTTATTTAATGCAAAGGAATTTTCCTTTCTTGAAACCACAAATAGACAAAGAAGATTCAATCGAAAAAAATAAATTTCTTTTCGCATTCCTTAAACTAACGAATTATGCTAAACAACAATTGACGATTCACGATATTTATATGTATATAGTATAAATACATGCAGGCTTGTGTTTATACATAACAACAATTATAAGCGGGCCTGGATAACATTTTTAATTAGTCCCGATAGTTAATGGCGGAGCGCAAAGGGTCTGACCTCAGAGCGATGTGTTTTTTCCTTTGCTCTTTTCCCTGCTAATCAAGCTTAAAGACTCTAATATCCACGCTCGGTGCTAGGCAGATGATGTGACGTGCCCCATTTTAGGCCCTTCTCTGTCAGTTGTTTGCCGGAGAGCGCAAATAATACTGATGCCTGGTATAGGGAGAATTGGGTGTTCGCCAACCCAACCAAAACTAGTCCAAATAGAAGGAGAAAGTTGGACGGCCTCGTTCCCCCTGGCCTTCAAAAGAGACTCACTATTCAGATTTCTTCCAAAGTACATATTTCCAAACTTGTTCTTGACTAAATTATGTTGAAAAATATAACAAACTTGTTTTACTGTGGGTGTAAGTTCACCTGGTAATGAGCTTTCTTACCATTTGGCCAGAAAACCTTAGACCAGGTATTCCAAAAACTTACTCACATTTAGTCTCACCGTCTTTAAAATTCCGCAGTTCGAAAGCGCGTACGATTTTTTCCATCCCTATGAATTTTTTTTGCAGGCGTTGAAAACTCTTAACGATTTAAAAACAGGATTGGATTATGTTATCAGGTTCTTTGAAACTAGGTACTCTGCAGTTCAATTTAATAAAATCTGTGCACCACTGTTCTACGCTTCGCATTAACCAAAGTCAATTAAATTTTATTTTTTTAATAAAGCTCATTCAAAGAATCCTTGTATGCGGGTGGAAAATAAAAAATGTACAATTACTGCATGTCAGTTCTTTTACTAAAAAAAATTACCGCAACGTGGTGTAAAATATTTATTATTCATATCGCTTAGGGAGACGATCGGCTTGCATTCATATATATACACAGTGACTCAAACAAATGATCGCGTGTTGATTTTCTTCAAATATTTGTAATGTTTTTCAAGCTAAATTTTTTTTTTGTTATTTTTGTCATTTATAAATTCTCAAAATCAACGCGATTTTTTTAGCCATTTGAAACTTGCACTTCATTAGACCAAACTTGTATGGGCTACAAAACTGCATACCTAAAAATTTTCTAAAAATTCAGGATAAAAAGTTGAAATTTTGATGAAAATTTATTGAATTTTCCTAAATTTTGTATAATATTTAAAACTGACGGTTTTGGTTAAAGCTTAGACAAATATTTTTATATAAAATTAGCAAAAAAAAATTTAGCTGGAAAAAAATTACGAATATTAAAAAAAACACGTGGTCATTTGTGTGTGTGTCACTGTATATGCATTTGCATATATGTGTCCTAGGGTAGTCCAAAAAAATTAAAGCCGGAATTTACAGAAATGTTCTGCACCAAAAAAAAAATATATAACCCTTTTTTATTTTGAAATTAAAAAATATTTAGTGGTCTGCATGTAATTTATATGGTAAAAAAAAAAACTATTTTTCGTATAGAATTCTTGAACATCAATATTTTCCGATCGGAAAACATTGTTTCTCCTCATGAGACTTTCAATTATAATACCCAATTATTATTTATAGGACCCCTAAAAACCCCAAAAATTGCAATGGGGAACCAATAAAAAATCGCTAGTATTAAAAATGGTAAAATATTAAATTGGGTATTATTATTGGAAGTCTCCTGAAGAGTGTGTGTTTTCTGACCGACAAATCTTGATTTTCAATAATTATTTACCATTTTCGCGAAAAATGGTTTATTCCCATATAAGATGAATGAAAAACGTTCAGCGCGTTGAGAGACCTCTAAGTATTTTTTTGATTTCAAAATAAAAAAAACAGGGGCATTCAATTTTCACCTTTACTTTTTTACATGCATTTTTTTTTTGCCTACCCTAATGTGCAAACATATGCCAACCAAAGTCACAATGAAAACAGTAAGACCAAAAATATTATCCTTATGAGGGCTTTACTTTTGGTTAATATCAATGTATGTACATACATATATATGTAACCTGCAGGGAACCCCTGAACCAGTGAACCAGTCCAATAGCAACTAGATCCCCATCAATTCAAAAACGGCGAAATATGGTACTTAAACAAAAAGCTATTTTACTTCTTCTTAAAAAAACTAGCCCTCTAGGCTGCCTAAATTCATTCGCATTCTTCCATTGAAGGTAGAAAATTTAAAACAAAATGTATATTCATAACTTACAAAATTGCAAACGCTGAGTGTTCGGAACTAACGAAAAAGGGACGCAGCAGGAGGCAATTTACACTTCGTAGGGCATCGCAATGCTAAATTCACCAGTTGCTAGCATGCTAAAGAGAATTAATGCGCACTTAGAATGGTTCTAAGTTCTCTAGTACTCAACCAGTTTCGCACTTGTGCATTTCCCACAGTGTAAAAATACACAGACGTATGCGCCTACGTAGCGTATGAGCAACCTCATCAGTTCATTTGCGCCGCACAATACACCAGCACGTGCTCGGATCAAGAGTAAAAGATTAACAGAAGCGCATTGCTCTAGTTCTGTTTACTTTGTTGATTTGTCCCGTATAAAAGTTGAAATCCATTCTGGTGTGATTCGAGCTGTGGAATGAGTTGTACAAACATTGCATACAAAGAAAGCAAAGCCCTTTAAAAAGATAGTCTGCATAAAGGATATTTTCCAGTTGTGTGTTTGGTAAACTCTCGACGTACATATATACATACAAATGTATGTACCTACTATCTATATACACATGTATGTATGTATGTACAATATTTTGCGTTCGTACATGATGAATGTACAAGAATTATAAATTTTTTTATTAAGCTTAAGTTAAGTTGGTACATATTTAACTTTAATTTCGGAAAACGATCAAAACATGTGGAATGAAATCGAGCGGAAGGCAGTGAAGTGTTAACTAAGAGAATTCATTTACTCATACTTATGTGTGTTTAATTTTTTGATTAAGGAAACTAAAATAAAACATTTAAATTAATTCAAATAATTTCCAAGAAAAATGTTTAATTTTATTAGAAATTAAATTTTTGAAGTTTATTGGTGTGGATACTATGAACTTCCAATATTTTCGCATGCTAAAATGCCATTTTCTACATTTACAAATACATCTCAACAGAGCAGCAAAGCCACATGTCTGTCCTCTTAGCCTTAAAACTTTCATGCAAAAATGAAAAAAAATTTAAAACTGCACGTAATGGAATTTCGGGGATTGAAGAACTCAACTTTTTATGAAAAAAGGAAAAGCTTGTAAGAGAGAGCGCAAACATTGATAACAGTTTAAGGGACTGTAATTGAATTTGAATGTATGTTTGCGTAAATGTAACCAGTGACATACTATTTTCAGAATTGCAATTGCCCTGCAGTAGAATGTTGGACATGTACTATGTAAATTAGGGTGGTCCAAAAATTCATGTGAAAAAGTAAAGTCGGAGTTTGGATGCTCTTACCCCCGACTCTACACATTTCACCTAAAACATTGCAATATGGATATCAAATGAAGGTATTGTTGAGAATTTTGGCCAGAAAATAATTTCCATCAGGGTTGTTACGCTTCTATGTAATACAAATTTTTATTTTGTCAATTTCAATCAGCATTTTTTTTTATGTATACACAGTACATTTACGCTCAAGATATGTGCCATTCATTGTAGCGAATTTCGGAATAGGAATGCCACCTAAGTTTTAGAGTAAGAAATTTACTTAATAGATATCGAAATCCAATTTTTTTTTATTTTCAAAATATTTTTTTAAAGCTGTCCAAATCTTTAAAAATTATATGCACTCCGGCCAAAAAAAAGAATAAACAAAATAACAAAAAAGAAAAAAAAATATAAAATTAAGAAACAAGTCCGTTCCACAGGATTTTAACCCACGACCAAAAAGTTGGCAGTCGCACTCTCATCCGTTAGGCTATTGATAACGCATCGAAAAAAATCTTCAATTCATTCTCTATTTTATTACAAATAAAATCAAGAGGAATTCATACATAAAATTAAGAAGAAATCTCTATGGAATTTTCTTCGTTTGTTTTCTCCTCTTTTACCCCTTAGCCCAGAAACATTTCATAAAGACAATCTTCTTATTTTTATGCGTCATATTTTTCTCTGTGTACTCACTTAAATATAAAAAAAAATATATATGTACACCCATACATATGCATGTATTTTCCGCCACACCATGAGTTCGGAATAAAATTTAAAATGAATATGCTTGCGTTCAATTTTCCTCTCATCGCCTACTTCATTGTACTCCTCACTTCAACCAAAGTTGCTGTTACCTGAATGAGTCGATATTTTCCTTTAGTAAATATTTTTTAATTTGCAATACAGTGGATGAATCAATGACTATTTTCAAAATGTAATTCGATTCTAAATTGAACATTTTTCTCATGCGAATATGTGAATATGTGTGTCTTTGCGTCTGTATGGCCTTTTAAGTTTTAGAAATAATCATTCTTTTTAATTGGAAAAATAAAACTCAAAAATGACTTGTATTTCTGAGCGAAAAAATAAAATTATAATAATATCCATTGATCGAAAAATAAACTCAATCATAATCATTGCTTTCGAGCGAAAAAAAGTGATCAAATAATGATTAAATGTTGATTTAATACATTTTACTTACTCAAAAATTATTTCCTATTTAATTTTACTCTACTCTCGTCCTCGTACTAAATTTTTTGGAGCTTTTTTTCGCATGTGAGACACTGTTGTAAGTACATTTACAAACATGTCAAAATCCTGTCGACATTGCACTCCTGATTGAATGCTCAACGCTAAAGCAAATGTTTGAAAATATCTAATGAAATATGTGTTTGCTGAATCTGAAATATAGAACACATATTCGCACGACACATCAACAATATATATGCATACATATGTATATACATACATATTCACATGCTTATCATGCTTGCAAACACATCAGCAAAATGAGAGTTGTCCTTCATATGTATCTGTCTGTATTCAATTGATATGATAAGCTTATTCTAAGTTTTACTTAATTTGATTTATTTAAATCGAGATAAAAGTAATCAAACAGCAATAAATCAACATTTGCAGCAATCAATATTTCATTTCATATTGAGACCTACTAACTAAGAGGCAGTGGAAATTATTCGCCCCCAGGGTAGAACTAACTGCCTATAGACATAGCGCTGATTGTGGCGAAGTTGTCATCTATATCTATATCTATGTAGTGCATAAATATGTATGTATATAGTCGTCGAACTTTTTAGCCAACTTTGCTTTTAGTAGTTCACTGTATTCTGCAACGAATAACATATAGTAAGCAGTCATCGATTTATTATACAATACATGCATAAATATGTAAGTGTGTGTTTTATTTATTTATTTACTGAAACTCTTAGCATACATACTTCCTTCCTTCCTGCCTTCCTCCCTTCCTTCCGTTCTTTCGGCGACTCCATGCCTTTGCAATGGCGAAGAAGCAGCAGCAGCAGTGATGTATGAGCAGTCATCGATAATTCCGCTTGGCACATATTTCCTGTTTACTCAAGAGACATGGCTTAAGTGCCTACGTCACAGCAGTCTGTTAAAGTAGCAACAGCACCTAGCTACGGTCCTACGACCTTTAACTTTCATTTAACAACGTACATATAAGAACATTTTTATACACGACAACTTAGTCGAAGATTAGCTCATAGCGCAAAGTGTTGTTGTTTACAAAAGTGTTTATGCACTCACTCAGGGGTTATTAGCCTTGACACGGTACTCGTATTATAAATGGTTGTGTATATATTCATTAATAGTTTAACTTAATTGATGTTAAACATAAAGTAGACGATTCTAGTGAGTATAAAGCTAAGTCACTTTAGATTTTGTAAAATAAGTGTCAGTACAAAACAATCTTCTGGTAAATAAATTCCACTTTACGTTGAGCTACCTGGTTGACCTTCTTCTATGCTGAAAGCAGAGTTCCCTTCATGCCTTATGAATCATCAAACGTTTATGGATGGGAAAATATTCGTATTCCAATATTTTTTTCTAGGCAAAGAATAGAATGTTTAAAAATATGTACATAGTTCGAACAATTTTATATTTAAAGCGAAAATAATAAAATGAAAGAAATAAATTCAAAGCTTAACTTTTTAGTGTGCGGCCTAAGTAAATATTTGTTATCGTTACTAAAAATTTCAAGGCTTTTTTCCCTTGTATCAACTTTTGTATTCAAATAATTTAAATTGTCGATAAGCCTTACGACTTTCTCACCTCATCAAAATGTTCATCATACGCCCTGTCATACTTTTAAAAATAAAAAATATGCTTAAAAATGCACAAATAAAATGCTTGCACAAAGCTTTTCCGGTCGATTTTTCACAAGCATTCCAGTCATGCCTTCACATCAATGTTATTTGATATTGTATTTAGTGTTATTGGTTATACGAGTATCACATACTTTTTCTTTAACAATATGGCATTGCATTTTAAAGATATGTACGTAAGTGTATAATGTGCATATTCAAACTTTTTAAATAGGATATTCATGCTTTCAGCACAGATGCAGATTAATAGTGTTTGGCCGAGCTTCTCCACGCCTTGATGTTGAGCAAAGAGCTAAAAAATTTATTTGCTTCTTAGCTCCTTAAAGAAAATTAGATACACTTATTTTTTATTTTTGCTATTGACAACAACTGTGTTAAATATATTTTCATTCTATTTTTACTGTTCATTGCACAATTCCCAGCAGTCAGGGATACATCAATTTTGTCGACAGTGCGGTTTCGTACAATTTTAAGTATCCAGAAACCAACAGAGAACGACTTAAATTTTCATTCATATTCATATCCGGAAGGTGCCGGAGTCGAATGCCCTCAGGCGCTGCCTTATTTAAGTTTTTTTTTCGAAGCATGAAAAAGCATCAGTGAAGTGCAGAAGGAAATCGTATTTAACGAAAAATTCAATAAGACAAATTTCAGAAAAACAGCCAAAAACGTATCCGTTTCAAAACAATTTTCAGAGATTTTCTGTAACATATTTTTCTGCCGCACCTTTACTGTAAAAACGGATCGCTAAAGTATCCGAAATTGGAATCGGTAAACGGACAAAAATCCGCATTTCATACACTTTTTTCCTTTTTCGGATCCATTAGTTACGGCCTCTGCATAAAGGGATATAAGAGAAGCTAAGCTTAAAGTGCGGTTAGACGTAGCAATGCAAGCGCTTTTTTCTCTCAAAGTGAGAAAGCGAAAGTCCACTTTCTCATGTAAATACCTAAAAAGTTCTTTTTGCAGATTTGCAGGAATGACTTTCCAAAATAAAAATTGCAAGGTGTAACTGCAACTGAAAGAACCCAAATCGCTTTCGGCAAATAATTTCAATTTGCACTAGCAACTTTCATTTCTGCTCAAAGTGCTATCAAACTGATACCAGTGTTGCCATGTGAGATGCGGCTTTCGGCGAATTTATATAAAATTATAAAAATAAGTTAAATAAAGTATCGAAAATACTTGTAACTAATTAATTCTGTTGATATAAAGCATTTTAAAATTAATTCATTTGACACTTTGTTTCTGTTTGGTGCGCGTTTTAGCGTTTTAAATAAACAAAAAGTAGTATCAGAAAGTACCTTTTTCGAAAAATAAGAGCGTAGTTCCCAAATGCCAAAAAATGTTACAAAAAAATCATCTACATTGTATTTCCATGACCCCGTCTTCTTTTTTTTTTAATTTTTGTTGCGCGGATGCGCTAAATTCCATACAAATCCTTTATTTTATTTTACTTCCAGCCATTGTCGCCACAAAAGTTCAAATTGACTCAACCTTTACCACAGCCACAATAGTACAACACAACCACAGCTTCATGTTGTGGACAGTTTAAAACTATCAGAATTTTTTAATTTTTGACAGCTCAAAGTACCTTACTAATTAGTCAGTTAAAGCCGCTTGCCTGTCTGGGAAAATGTAGATGCTATTGCTGCCTATTATGTACTTTAATAATTTTTCCTATGTGACACTTGAGAAGTGCATATGTAAAAATATGTGATATGAATTTTTTCCACTTGCAGCTAAGCATATGTATATATATTTTAGCTGTCCTTTTTATGCGGTTTTATCGAGGTTGTAGTACACATTCAGGCGCTAGTTGTTGAAGTCGCCTAAACATTCCCGCAGCCGTATTCAAACATTTGCTATCGCTAATTTTGAACGCCAAAGCTCTTCAAAAGAACAGCAGCCACCCCTAACAACACGCAACATCCAGTTGCATGCCCGCCACACTGTCATATTTGGCTGATTACGCATCGCATGTGTTACTCTTCCTCTGTTGTATACTTTTAGGCCCTGCTGCTCTTCATTTAGAGAACTTTAGCGACTACTGTCATCCAATTATTTCGCAAAATTATCACCATTCCATACATTACCATACTAAGGGCCGGTTTCTCTATCTCCGGTTAACACTAATCCCCCGGTAAACATCGTTATCGACCTTATCGACTCCCTGTTATATGCATGGAGTTAGAACGTCGATAACAATGTTTAACCGGGGAGTTAGTGTTAACCAGAGATGGAGAAACCGGCCCTAAATGTATTTACCATCAAATTAATAGCCACTCACATTGAATAACATTTTTCCAACTATTTATTTAACATTTGAAGCTATTTACATATATAAATTTCACAAAACCTAGGCATAAATAAATAAATACGAATGTATGTACATATGCAAATATTTTTATACAACAATTAAATATTTTGACTAGATAGTATTTCCGTAGAAAAAAAAAACATTATGCCGGAACAAGAGCAAATGCAGACAAACCGTTAAAGCGATATACGCCTGTACGTAAATACAAAGTAATTAATGTAAATACAAGTAGTACTTATGTGTATTTAAATTTTTAATTTGATTGAATTTCTATTTATTTAGCATTAATTACAAAATATTTAGCAAAAACGGCAGCGCACGAATGTACACAAATACATGCGTACGTAAATAAGTATAAATATACAGATATGTGGTTTATGTGCGAATATATTTAACTTACTATAGGGTTTAGCTTTTTATCTAAGTACTGCAATATATTTCGTTGGCCTTAATGAGTAAAGAATCTACACTCACAAATAGAGAAATAAGTGGCATAAATTACACCATTGAGCTTGCAGTTAAGCATGAAATTTGCTTTTGTTCTTACGTTTCCGTCACTTAAGCAGGACCTTTTTTTTCGCACACATACGTATGCATGCGAACATTTATTTAGTAAAACATTTAGTTGGCATATTCATTGGGATTAAACTAAACTAAAAACAACAAACCAACCACTCATTTTGTATTTGTGCTGCTTTATATAAACCAAAGCAAAGTTATTGGCCACTTAGGAGCATAAATCTTCAACGGATTCGCCTTGCAGCAGCAACAGGCGTTGTTGCTCCTTCTTCTTCGACATACCTTTGGTTTTGCCACGTCGATTCACCACGCCATCTTCTTCGTCCATCATGCGGAGAATTGTCGTCTGTCAAGGCGCATAAGAAAAAGAAAGGCGTCAGAAAAAAATTCAATTACCGAAACGTCTTTGTATGTACAGATTTATGTGCCTAATAAGAATACATTCAGAGTATGAAAAAGTACAGACTTTCCGCATTCAATTCGCTTAGCCATGAAAAACGGCTGACAACATTTTTGTTAAGCACTGACTTTCTGCGACAGAATATGTACATATATATTCAAGGTTTTAGTAGTCAGCTGCGCTTGATATATTTGCCAATTAATACACCCAATTAGAAGGCACTCACTCACCTGATCTGAGCAATCCATGGGCGCCACTGAGATATCGCGTACAGCACGAAATTTGCCACAATTATTCAAATGCTCATTCTCCAGGCGAAAATAGTTCCATATGAAGCGTCGGAATACCTCCAATGGGCTGAGTATGGTCATCATAACATCGCCCTCCATGTAACCAGCCTCAATTAGGCTCATCGAAACTGTCCAACCGAAGCGCAACACCAAGTCCTCCACAATGCCAAAATAGTAGAACCACTTTGAAATGCAGAAAAAATAAAATAAAAGAAATGGAAACAAACGAAATAATAATAATAACTGCTTAATTGGATAAAACCAATGCAAATTTATAACTGACAGCTGCAAGAAAACTGTTTGGAGTCTAACCAACAATATTTTGCTTCTTCGCTCCTCTTAAGGCAGTGTCAGACGATTAAGCGTTTGCCAAAAAATTTGCTGCAAATCATATCCCAATCGCAAATATTTTTCTTTATTCCCAATCAGGACAAACAATTTGTAAAAATTTTTCAAAATAAAAAAAATAGCCCAATATAAAGAATATGCAAATGTGTAAAAATGTGCCAATCGTGTGACACTGCCTTTACACCAAATAGACATACATATGTATGTATGTACACTTACCGTCGACGAGTAGACAATTTCTTCACGCAAAAAGCGATTATCGCCAGCCTTGGCATCGAATAGGCCCCAATCCATTTTAATGTCCCACGTGTAGGCATAACAGGAGGACACAATGGCCGCTACTATCCAGCAATAGAACCAGGGATTATCCTTTGATGTGACATAATCAGCTGTGATGAGAGTGGAGAGGTGGCAAACGGTAAGTAAATTATGTATAAAAAAAAATAAACTTGCGGAATTTTGCTGGAAAAACGCTCTTCACAGTCAATTTAATTTATTTGCTGAGTTGTCAATTATGTTCAGTTAGTTATTATGTTTATGGCGCTATGGCACGGCATGAGCGAATCAATAGGGTCAAGTCAAATAGCAGTTATTAAGCAATATGTATGTATGTATGTATATACAAATATGTACAGTTAATGCTTTAAGAATAGCTTACCGAAATTATTTCTATCATTTATGCAAAGGTACAATGACACTTTCATCCTACAATGGTCTTTTAACAGAGAAAAATAGCTCGAAAAAATCTAAATCGCTAATTAATTCAGTGAATAATTATTCGTCGGTAATATCGAAGAAAAAACTGTTATTTGTACTGGAAGGTAATTTAAACAGCTGTCATTTACAGTTAAAACTGTAAATCTGGCAACATTGCTCATAACATTCATTGCGTGACTGAACTGTTTATTTACTTACTATTGGTCCCAACTTTAGTAAACGAGATGAAATCGAGCACCCGGTAAGATAGCGAGTTGTATGCAAAACAACGCAAAATCTTGGTAATTAACCAGAGTTTGGCCTTCTGGTTTTAAAGGTAGGTGAAAAAGTGCGTAGTGTTGTAAAGGAAAAAGTGCGATATTTTGCTTAAAATACTGGCACAGAGGAAGAACGTCCGAGAAATTTTCCAGAGATTTCGGGCTCCTTACGGAAGGTTTAAAGATCGGGAAGAACTTTCTTAAAAAATAAGAGCGGTGACTTGGGATCGGCAGGCAATTGAAAAATACGTATTAAGTAGTTTCGCAGGGATACCAAATTCATTCGTTACGCCATAAAGATAGATAAATATATAACAAAGTGAATTTTACACCTATGATGGCTTCTACTCATCACAACAATTCCTGGAAACCTAAATCCCTCAGAGAGTTCAACACCATTTTCGGCGGTAGGGAGTGATGGCCACATTGAGCCTATACTTCTCCCACTGCATATGACTAGATCGTCTCTCTTGAATGTGCAAGGCAAACGTATCCATATAAACACTCTTATATAAATTTAGTTACAAAACATAGGTTAAGAAAAATTTATATAATGTATATATTCAATATGCCGATCTCCCTGCATACATTGATTAACCCTGGGATTCAGTAATTCAGTCTCATCTCAAGTCACTAAATTTGAGATTAGCAATTAGTGACTATTTTTGTGACTTGAGACGATTTGGGTATTCAGAAGGGGAGAGTCACAAAAAGTTCACCAAAAATGTGTGGTGAAAACAAACACTGACAGTGAACTGATAGCGTTTACGTATGCCTTTTGCCGCGCTGCCCGAAGAGTCGCAATGGCCGAGTGGTCAAAGCATTAGGCTGGCAGCCGAGAGGGTCCGGGTTCAAGTCCTTCTCGGCCGTAGAGGATTTTTGTTATTTTTATTTTTTTATTTTTTTGTTAGTTTTATTTTTTTNTTTTTTTTTTTTTTTTTTTGTTAGTTTTATTTTTTTTTAACAATCTTTAGATTTTAATGTTTTAAAAACAAAAAAATTAATTTTTTTTCAATACATTTGTATGAAATTAAAACATTTTGGTTTACTTCCTAATGAAATTGTTGTTGAACTAATTTCCTCGCTTCATTTTCGCGTTTTTTTTTTTAATAGAATGGAAAGAAATAAGCGTTTCCTCCATGCTTCTATTCTTGTGACCGGCTCTTAGGCAGCTGACAAATTAGTGACTTATTTTTGAGACTAGAGACGTAAGACAGCGTACTGAGTACCAAATAGTCTCAGAATCCAAGTACACCACCAAAAGTCACTATTAGTGACTAGAGACCGCTTACTGAATGCCAGGGTAATTTTATGATCTTCACTATCGCCCACCCGTGGGGACCACTAAAAGTATGTTCACATATCAATATAATTTCAATCAAAGCCCGTTTTTCAATCACCCTGTTTACACAGGCAAATCTCAGATAGTTAGCCGTCGAATTTGTTGTGCTTGTTATTCTCACATCTCAATGAAATGTTATCTTTCTTCTCTGTACCACCGTGATCACTTTGTTCTGCTATATTAAGCAATTCAAATATATTTGAACTTAATATTTTATTAAAAATACCTTTACAGACCTCTTTTCCTTGCCTTTTACATTTGGCATTTCTCCTCTTCTTCGCAAAAATAATCGATAAAACTAGGCTGTACACCGGTTCATAATTACAGATAAACAAGAGACGAATTTTGTATCGCCAACCTCTTTTACTAATTAGAGATTAGGGAGTTAAGCTCGAAAATGAGGATAATCTACTTATGTATATGTAAACCTAGTATAAGTCGCCATGGTTGTTCTTATAGGTATTCGCCCTGCCAAGCCAACGTGCAGCCTATTTATTTTAGGGGAAATCATTTGCATTTATTTTCTTTCTTCATTACAAATGGTGTTTTATTATCAATGTCAGGCAGTTTTTTGCATTAAGTATGTATGTATATATTTATTTTGTTAACCATTTTAATTAATTGTTTATCATGCCGATTTCAAGGGTACTTCGCTTTAAGGATTATAATGTAGAAAAAAATTGCACACCGAACCTAGAAATTATAATTAATTCTAAATCTTCTTGCCAACAACGTTTTCAAACACATATTTTTATATATCTAACCATTTTCCGCTGTTCGTACTTTTGAAGCCACAAAGTGCTCGAGATAAATATTTATATAAGCGCTGCTTAAACTTTGGGCAGGCTTAATAATTCCCAACTGTCAACAGCTAAATGCTGAAATAAATTTATTTGCCTATCCGCATATGAGGTTCGTTTCGACTTTAATACCCGAGAGAGAATATAAAAACTTTGTCAGGAATACGCGCCTTATTTCATATTTATATGCAGATATACAAAGGCGTCGTTTAAAGTACAAAACCGCGTATGTGAGGTTGCATAAATTATTTTCTAGAGGGTAAAAACATTGATATTTCAAAATGGTTCTCTTTTTAATAAAGCAATCGCATTTCTGGCTGGTATATTTAAGGACGAATGGATAAGGCTTGAGCCAAGCGCTTGTGTGAGCAAATCCAATTTTTGGCGAAAAATGTCAGTTACGCGGTTTTGCAAAACGACGATACGCGGTTTTGTACTTTAAACGACGATATGTAATGTCTATGTTAAGCTTTTTCGGTATGTCGGGATTGTGGTGTCCGCAAAAGTGTGCAGTGTTGCCATTTCAGCCGTTTTCCGGCTAGATTTAGCCGGTTGCGAAACCAAACAGCTGGAGAAAATTCGGTTTAGCCGGCATCCGATTTGTTAGCCGCTTTGCCAAAAAAAAAAATTGCCGATTTTGCTCTTTGCAATATTTTCTTAAAAATTTTTATATATAAGTTTCCATTTTTACCAATTTAGCGACCAAAAATCTATTAGAAATGGGTAGCTTTATCTCGGGGAAATTTTTCATGTCGAACTGTGTTACATATATGCAATATAAATACAATTTTTTCTAATCCGAAAAGTCTTCAAATACTCAGCCGATTTCAAAGATTTTTATTTTAAGCACATAGACAGTGGCCAAATTTAAACTGGGACGCGACATTTAATGTTTGTTCTTTTTTATGAAAATATATGAAATTATTAAAATTTTCACCAAAACAAGTTTTGGCTATTTTTCTTTAGTTTTTTAGTGTTTATTATTTTTTATTAACTTTCTGCAAATTTTCACCACAATTTTTAAGCATCTTTAGAAATTTAAAGTTTTAGTATAATAAAGTAAAAAATTTAAAGTACCTAGCAGTTACCACCGATTTTTTGGAATTTTTTTGTTGACGGTGTTTGGCATTGTTTACATATAAAAAAACTTGTTGAACATAGTTTGTATGGAAAAAAAAAAATCGTAACACCGTCATTAAAAAAAATGCCAAAAATCACCAGTAAGATCTCGCTAGTTCAAATTTGCACCTCAATAAACTAGAATTTAATAGACTACAAAGCTGCATACCATAATATTTTCTAAAGATGCTGACTAAAAAGTTAAAAAATTTTGTTGAAATTGTGCAAAAAATTCATGAAAAATAATAAACATTAAAAAACTTAAGAAAAGTAGCCAAACCTTGTTAAAATGTCGCGTCCCAGTTTATATTTGGGTCACTGTATTTTTTTTTTTTTTTTAAGAACGTATGAGCACGAATTTTCATGTGACGCAAAAGGCTGAGTTCCAAGTTGGTATATTGCAAAGCATCAGCCTCTTTTATTTCTAAACTATAAATGATGGAAATGACCAATTTGCGCAACTAAGTTCCAATTCGGAAATTTTAACCGTCTTAGCAGTTTTTTTGGCCAATTTAGCCGGTCGGCCTAAAAAGTTCTGGCAACACTGCAAGTGTGCCTTACCGAACTTTACCGCAACAAAAAAAGTAGAGAAGTATTCGCTTAAATAGTTTTTGCGCTTTAAGTGAGAGGCGCAAAAGTTAAATTTAAATATTTGTCTCTCAAATAATTTAATTGCGTGCAGAAATCTGAAAGCATTCATTTAATTGCGAGCATAAGTAGATACTTAAAAAAGTTAATAATAACTTTAAAGTGTTCAAAGAAGATGGATATCAAAAATGTCTTCACACAACTTATTCCCAAGCATTTGATATTTGATACCATCAGCCACTTACCTGCGGTTGTTTGGAACTTGTAGGAGAATATTACAACAAAAAACGATGTTGCGTACTTGGCAGCATTCACCAGATGCGGAAAAGCTTCACGCGTGTCACGATAGCGACGAATACACTGAGCGAATCGCCAATAGGCCGGCAAAATAGCAACAACCGGACGCACCATAGAGATGTCCTTAACGCATGTTGTGCCATCTGGTGATGCAAAAAAAAAAATTTATTATAATTAGACGAATCCCAATAAGAAGAAGTGTAAATAAATACGGCAAACTTACCGTTACCCGACCTGTGCCAGTTGGGATTCTCACCAAAAAAGCAAATAACGAAGGGTATGTCAAGAAAGGCCGGCACAAGACTGTTAAGCTGATCGGCAAGCCAAAAATCCGCGAAGGTCACGAAGAAAAATGGCGCCATGACAACTCGACTAAGCACGCGCACCGCCCAATAGCGCGCCTCATGGTGAAACGTCTTCGTCGGATTGAGCAGAAATGCAATCATTAGTGTGTAGAGGAAAATGGGCGCCGAATACTGCGGTATGCCAAGCGGATCACAGTAAATGTAGCACAGCACACAAATGGCCCAAAGAACGCCAAACACTGAGGCCACTTCCATGATATTCTGCTCAGAGAGATGATTGCGCGGATCCAGCTCGAAGATGAGTACATGATTTACGCCCGACGAACGCCAGCCATAGACATTGACACCCCACAGAAAGAGGAATTCGATGATGAGAAAGGGGCCGCGAAACATACGCAAACCGACGCGCCAATCTTTGCCGAAGCCATGAAATATGGCCGACAGTACAACGGTGAGAAAGAGTACAACAAAAGCGCCTGAGAAGAGGCCAACCTTGAAGGTGGTCCATGGGCTTTGCTGCTCACCCAGCGGCGGCACACGTAAGCGNAAAAAATTTGAAAATAAACGAGTATATAAGTAAAAGAGAAAGTATATAAGAATAGAAAGAAGCGTTGCTTTAACATAGCACATGAGTGTTACTAATTTTCTCGTATAGTGGCGTAAAATTGCTTTGCAAACCAGCAAATCGGCCACTGATGTACACACAATGATAATCTGGGTTTGTAAGTATGTATATACATATTTGTCTTAAGTACATAAGCACTCAGTGAAAGTGTAACACTAAGCTCTTACCCCTCCCCGGCTACTGGCAAAAGCTCGCTTTGTTTACATGCATTGTTTGTAAACAAATTTGCCAAAAACATGTGATTTTCACTCTATTTACATCTCAATCTTCTAAACACTCTGCAACACGTGTCTCTTTGTGGTCATGCGCAGCACACCAAACACTTTTTTGCGCCAAAATATAAGCTCCACACTTTGACAACTACATTCTGAGCTTTCATGACGTCACCCAACCCATTGACAGCAGCTGTCATCGACCGCCCACCAGTATCTACAATATTTTCACTTTACACTGACCAACATCCGAAAACGCAAATAAGATTCATCCTCCGAAATGCGACTCATACCTCGTAGTTTATGTATTGTTTCCGCCATTCCGGTGTTATATGTGCGCTCAAGTGTTCGGCAAATTTCATTTTAAGGCGCGATTTATATTATTTCACTTTAATTTCACTAAATAATTGAACAGCACTCGTTTTTTCACTGGCAGCATTTTCACGGGCACAGTCAATACGAATACACTTTGACACACACGCACACACACACATTTGAATGAAAAGTGAAATTTGTGGGAGAACATATGGTCGGAAAATGCTTAGCTTTTGTGCTTGCATAGCTTTTCAGTGCCATGCAGCTTTTTGCGAGAAAAATTTAAGCTTATTATTAAATGGAATAACACGAAAATATATATTTGTTTTATTGGTGCTCAGTGCCTAAAACGCCAACTAAATTCGAAAACTTTCAAGCATGGATTATTTACGCAAAAATGTCTCACATCATATCGTGCGTTCTAGTTAGGACTGACACACACTCTAAAAAATCTGTTTAAAAATGCGACTATAAATCGAGTATATTTTTGTTTATTTTTAAAATTTTTTGGTAAATTTACACGATAAATATGTATTTTTCTCGTTTACACATTTTCGTGTGTAAAAATACTTTTTGTTAGCGGCTTTACACAATTCTACGGGTGAAATCAAACAGCAGATGTGTATTTTGTAGCTTTTACACACTTTCGTTGTAAATTTACGCACACCACAGCAGCTATATTACACTCTAAAAAGTCGGAAATTTAAACAAACTATTCTTTGAAGAATCGAGCATGTAATTTCGCGAATAATAAGGTAGGAAATCAGTAATCTACCTTTTAGCTAGGAAATCTACACATTTTTTTTTTAGAGTGCAACTCTGTCTGAGGTTTCTCTTAAAGCACACCATGCTTTTTGGAAGATCGTAGGAGGGTCTGCTTTCTCTTTCTGACTGCAGAATATTGCAGACCAAAGCACCAGCAAATTGTTAATAAGGTTTAAGTAAATTAGTAACACTAAAAAACCAACTAGTGGTCTATGTGAGACCTCAGGGATCAGCCCAGCTAACCTCATATTACTGAATGGTCAACAATATAGGTTTATCTGTACCCTAAGAAGAAAAACAAGAATATTGAACGACCATCTGCAAGAATTAAGAGCCAAAATAAATTGAAGTTAGCGCGGCGATTCATATTGGAAGCATACCAGCGAATTCTGAAGGTCAAAAGAAAGTTTACTCTTTTTTTACTAAAAGCTCAAAAATGAAAGAATATTAAGCAGAGCACAGCATCAGAGATGCTCAAGTGAACTACACCAAGAGGTTACTGGGTGGATATAGTTTAAAAAGATTCCAACTACACTCATTCTTTTATGACACTTTTGACTCAAGGATCACTTGCAAAAACTAGATATTTAGTTAACCAATCTCTGCTGCTTCTGCGATTCGATTAAAGAGACAACTTTTAACTACCCCCAAAGTATTAACATTTATTTATTAATTTTCATTTTGGGCCGGGATTGAAAAGTATCACTTACATACATATATACATATACATATATCTGTCAGATATTCATAATCAATTGATTCAGTCAATCAACTCTGTTGCTATCGTTGTACACCTGATGAATGCGCAGTCGAAGGATTTTTTCAGTGTAGCATCATCGTGGATGGATAATCTCCGGCTTTAATTTGAGAAAGTCTCTGAGGTTTTACAAGAAATTATATATAAATTACTCTTATTAATATCTTTTTAGGATTTCATAGTTTTTATAGTCCCACATTTATAATGTCTTTAATTTTTTTCAAAGTCGCTTGGTTTCGAAAATTTTCTAACCTCTCAAACTTCCACTTTCGCCGGAAAAAGTCATAATCAGAAACACTATTCCATAAAAAAGGGCATTCCGACACTCCCACTTATAACACTTTTTGCTTATAACCGTTTAGGCGGTTACAGCGTCAAATAAGAGGAAGAAGAAATTTTATTGACTTCCCCCTAAATTGAAGGCGGCAGCTTCTAGAAAACTATTTTCTTTCTACACTCAAATCGTCTTCTGTTCAGGTCTGTATGTATATAAGTATTTCCGTATTAATTATCAATATTTTTTACCCAAATATTTAAAATATTTGACAGTGACATTTTTAACCATCTTACCTTTCCTTGCTTTACGCCTCAAATGCTGTTTGCTTTGTTTGTTGCCGAAGGCGTTAACTTACACGTTCGCTACTTTGTATCTTTGTATGTATACCTGACCTTGGTTGAGATCAAATCATTATCTAATATCATTTAGTTATTGTGATCAAATGATCATTTAATAGGGAAGTCACTCAAAATGTAAATATGTATTCAATACTCTATAGTAAGTTATTGCTTTGATTGCATATCATTAGAAATGTAAACAAACCCAACCAGCGGCTGTCATAGCAAATAAATACAAAATTTACATTCGCGACGAACTTCATGCCACCATATAAACACGTTACTGTTTAGTAAAAATGCGCTCTGTGACTACTAAAGCAAAAGTAAACGGCGAGCGAAGGAGCGGGCCGGCCACCTGAATGCATTCACAACTGCAGCAATGCGGGTAGCCATTGGGCGCTCAGTGTTATCGACTTTCTAGAATGCGTCAATAACTGGCGATTAGGTAATTGCCCCTTAACAAAACCGTTGTTGGTTTTTTCAACCGCAACAGTAAGCTCTACTAACCAGAGACATAACTATTATAAGAGAAAAAACTAAAAGTCAATCAATAATTATTATATTAAGATAAATATTTTTCGAGTCATCTATAATTATTGTTCAAGGACTTATATTATAACAGTTCTTTCATAATAATTATGTGTGAGAAAATTTTTTTAAGTCATCCACAACTATTAATTTAAGACTTATATAATAAAAGTCTTTTCATTATAATTATCAGTGAGATAAATATTTTTGAGTCGTCCAAGACTTTTATTTTGAGACTTATATTATAAAAGTCTATTCGTAATAATTATGAGTGCGAAAAAATTTTGTAACGCTTAAAAGACGGGGCTAGTTAGGGGCCAGCTCGGACCTAGTTGGGGAGTAGTTTGGGATCAGTTCGGACCAGTTCAGGACTATATATACATACTTAATATAGGCCCTAACCTGTCCTAAACTACTTCCCAACAAGTTCCAAACTGTTCCCGAACTTGTCCCCAACTAGTCCCGAAGAAGTCCCGAAATTGCCACAAACTAATCCCGAAATGGTCCGGAACAAGCCTCGTCTTTTAAGACTTAAAAAATTTTTTTCGCACTCATAATTATTATTTAAAGTCTTTGAAGACCTAAAAATATTTATCTCGCTGATAATTATTATGAAAAGACATTTTTAAGTCCTAAAATAATAGTTATCGATGACTTAAAAAAAATTGTTCACACATAATTATTATCAAAAGACTTTTATAATTCTTTCGAAAATTTTGATGACTTTTTTAAAACTCCACCATGAAATAATTAATATTCTGGGTCTCTACTACTAACTAGTACGCATAATTTTAAATTACTAACTGTAACTGAGCTAATTATGTTTCTCATGGAACTTTTTGCAGTCATTTCAATATTTCAGTCAAACATAACAGAGAAACTGAAATGGCGGTTTAATATGCTAGAGATATCAGTTTTCAAAAAAACATCAATGCAACGATACATCGACTATTTATACATCGATGATTTTTTCCGACATCTCTACGTCGGAGAGCAAGCGCGATCGAGCGCGAAAAGAACTCGTCTCAGTGGAAGCGAATGGCGCTCAGTCATGCATAACTTAAGTACTCCTACACATGTATGTAGATAGACAACCGGAAAGTGTGCTCAACGCTCGGAAGCGAGTCGATATACCGATTTTAATTGAAAATTCAAAACATGTTTTACTCATTTTGCCGTTTGATCTATTTTCAAAGCGTCGCCAATGTCTTCATATGCATATGTTTGTATGTATGACATACATTGTATCTATATGTATATATTTAGCATAGATTTTTTTTTGTAGGTCGTCTGTCGATGCGCATTGTTTTACCATTTTTTGGTGTTTGTTTAATGCGTCGTTGCCTTTTCGATTTTTAATTCAGCCTTTGGTTATTTATTGATTACTGTGGTGCCGCAGCGCAACGCGTCTGCCGTTGTTGATGTCGGCGACCTCGCAATCGATTTTGATTTTGATTTTGGCTTTGGCTTCTGTTTCTACTTCTTTGACGATAGCATATCGTATGCCCGCCCGTATTATGTGCAGTGTTTTTTTGTTGAGCTCATTTGAATCGAACGCATTTGCATTGCATTAATCAAAAGCGAATTTGTCAGTTCAGTTCTTGCGAGTGCGGCGCGCGATCGTGCGTGCAAATCATTGCAATAGATAATATTAAGCCGCGCGTGATCTTAACAAATCGTGGTCTCTTTTTTGTATTCGAACAATAACAAAAAAAAAAAAAAATTACACACAAAATATATGTGTATGTATGTAAATGAACTACACATGGCTACACATGTTTCTTCGTTAATCTTTATTAGATTAGATTTCAGC